GACGGGGCTGGTGCTGGCTCTGTCCTCACGTACCGGCAACTTCACGACTCCGTTCAGTTGATATCGTTACGATTGCTGCGCCAGCTGCGGCGGCGCGAAACGGTGGTGATATTATGCTGGGCGGGGCTCGACCTGGTGGAGCTGATCTACGGCTGCCAAAGAGCCGGCCTTGTCAGCGTCCCCATTATGCCGCCCGATCCTCGTTTTACAGCACAGAATAAAAATTATGATCTTACCAGGGTTCTCTCCCAAACTAAACCCAAAGCCGCCATAGCTCACCAAGCTTACATCGCCGCCGTTTTCCGGTATCCATCTAAAGCTATTATTTACTTTTACTTTAAAATAAGATTTTTCTTAAAAAGCACATCTGGTCTACTAAGTAACTATTTTTTTTTCGGAGGACTAAGTAACTATTTAATCGCTAAATTTTAATCAATGCTTATATGTAACAATTTAATAACCACTGTCACCAAAATTTTCATTAAAATTAAGTGTTAATTTCTATCTATAACAATTTAATTTTTTTCCTTTATAAATAAATTTGATTTTTTATTAATTTATCGATCTAAACATATAAGAAATTAAACAATAAAATTTCACAAATAAAAACTAAATCATTATAAATTTTAAACTTCAAAAATTGTTTCTTAAATTACTAATTTGAAAGTATAGCAACTCGTTGATCCAATCAAACTATTGCACCAAAGAGTGTTTTTAACCTAAAAATCTTACATTCTTAACCTTCGTCCTGGCACAAGACTCGAGAAGTTACACTATTCCAACAGACGTTATATTTTTTAAAAAACAGGGAGCTAAATATTATTCTTAAACTATTACTGAACCGATGAAGTTTATATGTATTATTTAACAGGTACCTCTCCTCAACCCAGAGAGACGAGAATCTGGCGACGCTATTACACAACGTAAAATGGATTTCAATGGAGAGTTTAAAGAAACCCAAGGAATTAGAAGAACCCGATTATTCCAAGTTTTGTCACTCTTCATATCGCGGCTGTAAACCGGAGGAACCGTATCTAATCCAGTATACGTCAGGGGCAACAGGACCGCCGAAGGCGGTGGTGGTTTCCGCCGGCGCCGCCGCTCACAACGTCCGGGCGGCGAGGAGAGCCTACGACCTCCACACGGACGCCGTCATCGTGTCGTGGCTCCCACAGTACCACGACTGCGGCCTGATGTTCCTCCTGCTCACGGTCACGTGCGGTGCCACGTGCGTGCTGACCTCACCGGGGCGCTTCGTGGGCAGCCCAATGACGTGGCTGCACCTCGTGACGGCCTTCAGGGCCACGTGCACTCCCGTGCCGTGTTTTGCGCTGCCGCTGGTGGTGAAGCGGGCGAAGGAGAATCCGGGGGTCGCCGGTGGGGTGAATCTGGGGAGCTTGAGGAATTTGATTCTGATAAACGAGCCGATTTACCGGTCGGCGGTGGAGGAGTTTGTGGAGATGTTTGGGTCGGCGGGGTTGGAGCCGGGATGTGTTGCGCCGTCGTACGGGCTGGCGGAGAACTGCACGTTTGTTTCGACAGCGTGGAGAAAGGGGTGGTGGTTTCCGGCGATGCCGAGCCACCGGAAGCTGCTGCCGTGCGGGTGGGTGGGTGGAGAAGATGAAGAGATTGTGGTGGCGGTGGTTAATGGAGAAACTGGGGAGGTGGTTGACGATGACGTTGAAGGAGAGATTTGGGTCTCCTCGCCCAGTAATGCCTCAGGTTTCGAATCCCTAACAAACTCTCAAACTGCGTCGTTTTACTTTTTATATAAGATTATCTATTCCTTATATTTAGATTTAAATATTATTTTTGCCCCTTTAGCTACTCATCTTTCTAAACGTCAACTTTTAAAACAGTGACATTTTTTTCCTCGCTTTATTTTCATTTTTATCATTTATAATTCTAGCACAATATTTTACCAAGTAAAATATTATTAAGATCTTTTAAAATGTAACTTTAAATTTATATAAAATAATTTATCTTGCATATAGAATTTTGCGTTAATTTTACAAATACAAATTACATAGCCATTTTAGAGTGACAAAATAGATGTAGATAAAAAATATAGAAACTAAAATAAAAGAGGACAAAATAATATTTAAAACTTATTTTTATTAGGTTTTCTTTTGTGAACTCATTTATTATTTGGTTTTAAGGAAAACATGGTCTAATATTGAAAAGAAATGTAGTTTTTGAAACTCTAGTTTTCTTTTTGTTTTTAAGTTGCCTTGGTGTGAATTGAGATATAAAAATTGTGAGAAAACAAGGTTTTTTAAAAGAAAATAAGAAAAACATTAAATAAGAAAAAAGATGAATTATCCAATCCAATTTTATCCTCACAATTCATAAATGTTTGATAATTTATTATTTTTAAAAATTTCTATTTTTATATTTAGTTGTGAGGACAGAATAAAATATGATATATGCATGCTATGAGTATGTGTTAGTCTTTTTTTTTTAATTACTATTAATATAAAACAAAAGTTTGACCAAGCCAAAGTGAAAATTTACGAAAGTTTTAGGTGTTAAAATAGAATATTTGAAAATTGAAAGAAAAAATTGTCTAAAGTAATTTATACTTTCTCAATCTCAGGTTACCTTGGGAATCCATCTGTAACCAGAGAGACGTTTCACAGTAAACTGAGGAACAACGAGAGAAGCCGTAGTTTCGTCCGCACCGGCGACAGAGGAGTAATTAAAGGCGCCGACAGATTCCTCTTCGTTATCGGACGGTCCTCCGACATCATTAAACTCAACAGCGACCAACAAATCCACCCTCATTACATCGAATCCATAGCTTACCAAAATTACTCCGCCTTTCTCCGCGGCGGCTGCCTCGCCGCCGTCAAGATTTCGGAGACGGTCGCCGTCGTGGCCGAGATGCAGAGAGCGGACCAAAACGACGCCGAATCGCTGAAGAGACTCTGCGAAGGGATTCGGAGGGCGGCGTTGATCGAAGGAGGAATCGAGGTAGGGCTGGTGGTTTTGGTGAAAAGGGGAAGCGTCCCCAAAACGACGTCGGGGAAGATTAGGAGATCGGCGGCGAAGGAGAAGCTCGCCGGCGGCGGAATGAGCGTGTTAATGGCCGTGAAATTTGGAAAACCTTGCGGCGGTTTGAAGGCATTTAGGGATTTGAAGGATTCGGCGGAGGGAAGAAGCTTCGGAACCTGCCCTCTTTTGCTCTCTCTTCTCTAATTTCTAGTGGGTGAATTTAGAAAATTTTGGCCACACCCACTTTAAATTTTACTGTCATATATATAAAAGATAAAAATGCAGTGTTATTGTGAAATTACTGCTTGTAATTTTAACTGTCACTGCTGAGTATTTTTAATAGCAAAAAAAATTGTTTTTTTCTTCTTCTTATCATTTTGTATTTGGGGTTTAGTTGAAGTCCGATTGATAGGGTTGCGATGTGCACAGGCGTTTGAATGGCAAAAATTATTTAATATATTTCAGATAACGTGACCAACAATTTTAATGTCATTAAATATATGAGTGCAAAATTTTAAAGAATTGATGGTTTGTTATAATCGTATTAATTTTTTTAGTTGAAAACTAAATTATATTATGGTTAGTATTATAGTTTTCAAATTTTAGATTAAAAGAAACCCAATTTAGAAAATTGCTGTTGAGAAATAATTATCTGAATATATTTGTACCAAAATTTTGTTTAAAAACTGAAAAAAAAAATATACAATTTGTTTTTTCTTTTGAGAAAATCTAAAAATAGTTAAAATTTTCTGCAGTTGGTGCCTGTAAAATGGTCCCAAAGAGATAATGCTGACATATGGAACCAAGGCACGTGATGTATGTCATTCGACATGGTAAATCAGGCCCATTGAAAATGGCCCGACGTCGTTTTATGAGCCCCATCTAGAAGCAACTAACGAGATATAGTTGGGCCTAATTTTCCAAGTCAAAGCCCAACAAAGATCATGGAGAAACTAAGTTGTTGTTGGGTAACATTGTAGTTGCTCTGTTTTTTTGGGTTTAATACTCTGAGATCGGAATTCAAACTCACAGTCTTTTGATCGGATATAGGTGTCTTCCCATAAATTCAACCATGACAAAATAATATTTTCTTTTACATTTTGGAACAAATTAGAAACGAGACAAAATAAATTTGTTTTCGTTGTTTTCAAAATTTATTACAATTTCGAAAATGTTTCTAAAAAAACTAAGGAACACAAATAATGAGAGAGAAAAAAAACGTTGGTGATTATAATCAACCAATATCCAGTTTATAAGTGATTGGTAAAAAGGTATTTGTTACCATTATCCAAATAGGAACATACTAATTATATAAAAATTAGGCAATCCAAAACCAAATTAAATTTAAAATATCCCTCACGTTGCATATGAAAGCAAATTTTATAAACAAATCACATACAACAAATTTATCATTTAGGCCTATGTTGGATAACAATTTTATTTTTTATTTTAAACATGAAACTGATAAAAGCTAGTGTTTTTATATTTAAGAAAATCACTTTTTCAAAAAAAAAAAAAAGCTAAACTATTAAATTTAGCCTACAAATGTCTATGTAGGTGCCCAATTAATTTTTTTTTAGTAAAATATGTTGAGGAGTGTCCCACTAAAATTTAAACTTAATAAAGTCTTAATTACATTTCTAACATATGTAAAAAAACTGCATTTCTAAATTTATAATTTTAGTTCTAATAAGTTGTTGATAACTTAAACATTCACTTGGTAAGTTTATTGAACTAACAAATATGGCATGATGAGAATAAACTAGTTTAATAAAATAAGGGGTAAACATGTAAAAATTACTATTTAAAATGCATTATATGTTCATTGACTCTTCAAATTTTTGGCCCACCCTTATTTAATCTAACACTAGTACATTCTCTCCTGCTGAATTATGTCAAATCATCACTTTTGAGTTTTGAGTACACATCAATTACATTTGACATCAATATTAATGATAAATATTTATTATAATAAAAAAATTTGACAAATGTAACTAAAACATTTTAAAGTTTAGAACTAAATCCAATCTCACACACATATATAATATTAAAAAAAAAATAGCCTAAAAATAAAATATGTTCCTTCAAAAAAGTAAAATTCACCGATAGCACAAATCTAATATATATATTTTAGAAAATGTTCCAACTTTTCATATATATTATTTCCAAATAGAGCATAAATTGAACTTGTTCACATTTGGTTTAAATTAGGTTATTTTTGTGAAATTTCAAATTTTCTACTCTACTTAAAAAAAATATATTTATCGTATGTTATTCATATAGGGTCTGTTAGTTTGGTAAGGTCTTGGTCTCTTTATTTTTGTCTCTACGTTTTTTTAATAAAGAAAAATAGAACTGCATGAACACTTATAGATTTAATAATGGTAAAACAAAATATTTTTATTTATGTTTTGTAACAAATTGGAAACAGAAATAAAAAACAAAAAACTTGATTTCGTTGTTTCCAAAATTTCTATACAATYTTGAAAATGTTTATAAAAATAATGAAAAATAAGAAACATATATAAATAATTGTCAAATACTTACCTTTATTACAAGAAACAACAACCAGAAACGTTATCAAACGGAYTCATAATTACCACTATTTACCACTAGAGAAACCAACTACGACGTTTTTAGTTTTCAATAATCTTCGAACAGAAACACTATCAAGAGGACGGTTCAGATGTGTAAAAGGGAAAGAAGGGGATTGGTTGGAGCTGTGGTGCACCCCAAAATTTAAAAATAAATAAATAAATAAATAAATAAATAATGTGAAGAGTTTAAGCTTTTGTAGGGGGAAAAAAGCAAGTACCAAAGCAAAGACGTGGAAAGAGAGACAAATAAAAGCCATCGATTGCATCAGAGAAAGGTAAAGACATTGCTTGGGGCAAGCGTGGTGCTGCAGAGGTTTCAGAATTAACCCTTCCCTTCTCAGACTCTCAGAAAGCTACGCGACAACCCCATTACTGTTTACCTTCCTTCACTTTTCACCTTTTTACCGCTCCCCCTTTCTTTTTTACCGTTACCCCACCTGCATCAAATTTATCATATCTAAATTCTACATTATATAATATATTGCTCTATCAAACTATCCTATTCCTACCTTTTATCTTCCCCCTCTCTCTAAACCTTTCCTTACATAAAAAAAGTCATTATACTCCTATCTTTCGGCTTTCAATTTTAAAATGTTCATTTTTAGTCTATGTATTTTTTTAAAAGTATACATTTTGGTCGTTATTATTTGCAACGTTTTAGCATAAATTTTATACGTGGATATACATTTATACTACATTTCAAGAAACTTGACGAGTGAAGTGTCGTGCTAAAATTTTAATTGAAATAAATGATAAAAAAATGAAAATGAAGAGACCAAAGTAGTCATTTTTTAAAGGTACATGGATTAAAACGAAAAAGTATAAAGAATAAAATGAACAATACCGAAATGAAATGTTTTGGAAGTATAAGAACCAAAATGAACCTACCGGAGTGAATAGAGTATTAAACACCTTTTTTTTTTTCGTTTCTAGAGACTACTAGGGTTTCTTTCTTTTGGTCTCATTATTATTATTATTTTTTTTTTACAGTTTTAAAAAATGTCTACTTTAGTCGATGAATGACTTTTTAAACTATTTTGGAACTTCCCCATGTTATTTAGCCACCAAATATACCTTTATCTAATACATTTCTCCAACATTGTGACCATAAATACAGGTTCGTGTTTGCACATACATGAAACTAGTTATGGATTTGTTAAAATTAGCATAATAAATGCAAAGGCCAAGAGATGGTCTTTTTCTTTGTTTTTATTTTTTCAAATTCAGCAACTAAAATTATACTTACAAGTTAAACGATCAAAATAAAATAATTTTGAAAGTTCAATAACAAATATAAGATCTAAATTTAATTTTATTTTTTTTAAAATTCTGATCTCAATTTTATATATAAGAAAAAAATCATTATAATCGTGAGTTTTTTTGTAATGGAAACCTGACCAGGCAAGTCTTTTGTTAGTTTGCCTCTCATAAGTAATTATTTAGAGTCCATGCAATAAGGTCAAGTTAATCTTTAATGGTTTAAAATGGATTTAGATCTTCTGTTGGATGATTAATGGGAAAATCATAGACAATAATTATAGCAATTTTCTTTTATCAGTCAAAATGAACATTATTCTTTATCTTGAGGTGGGGGATTTAAATTCTTAAAGACCCCATATTTATTGTACCACGAGTCCAAAGAAACAGTTATACAACATTCAGAAGAAGTTAGGAAAGAAAGCAAGTATTAAAATAGGATGAAGCATATTGTACATACAAAAATTTTAAAAATTTTGATGCAAAGGGTACCGTTTGAATATGGGACCGCTATTGATTCCAACAAATGAATTAGACAACAGAGGAAAAGAGTTTGAGAGTATATTGTGGAGCTTGGTTTTTAGTGATATACATATTGGGATTGTGTTGTTCTTTCGTATCATTTGTAGCTTTTGAGAGAATTTGTTCTATCCTACATCACAACATTTTGAAACTTCCAATAAAAAACAATATATATTTCTTAAATGATAAATATTTTCAAACGAGCATGGAGATTCAAATCCACTGCTATTAAGACATATTTAGAGATGATTTTGACACATCCAAAACTCATTGTCATTTTCAAAAATCATTCGTATCACTGCCAAACATTACTGTTTAAGAATGAGAGTGCGTGATTCTAACCAATTTCCAAAATATACCCTAATGTTTGACAATGATAAATAAGTAATTTCAAAATTGATTTCAGATGGGTCAAAATCATTTTCAAAACATACCGTTTAAATAGTAATAACATTATTAATCTTTGATTATCTCATACAGTGATACTTATTTTTCCTTTGAAAAAAAACAACTAGTTCCACCAAACAATGACCATGACTTACATTTCAAAAAAAAAAAATACTAAATCTTAATCGAATTCTACACCCTTTTAATTACTTACAAATATTCCATTGTCAACCGGCCTCCAAAGCTTGTATGACAAAGACCATTTTAGTATTCACGTTAAGTGAGGGTGGGAGATTCGAACTCATAACCTCTCTATACACTTATGTAATTGGCTTTAGTACCGGTGTTGTAATTGTAATTATTAATGAGTTAAAGAAGTACATGACTTAGTTATAAATTAGAATACCTATAGGTATTTGGGTTAAAATAGTACCCAAAAAAACAAAAAAACAGAGGTCTGTATCATAACATAAGACTATAAGAGGGGTTGTTAATTTTTTTGAAAAAGGAAGGTTAAAAAAAGAGTTTAATGAAGGAAAGATTAGGGTTTGGGTTGTGTTGGTTTAAGGGGAAAGGAAAGAGGGGGGGAATATGAAAGCAAAGTTACGTCGCATCAAAAGGGGGTATTGAGTAGTACAGCCATTGTCATGGACCATGGTCAAGTGCGTAGAGAGAGAGAGAGAGAAGAAAAAGAGCAATAATG